GTAATGCACAATGTCAATAAGAAGAAAATCTTCTACGAATRTGTCGGAGGTGGTGCTGGAGTGGGCAAAACCCGGCTTGTAACGACTATATATCAGTCGTTGACATTGCGCGCTAACAGTGTACCAGGAACTAACCCCGAAACAGCCAAGGTGTTACTCTGCGCACCCACTGCCAAAGCAGCATGTGGAATTGGAGGTCTAACACTTCATTCCGTTTTTTCACTCCCCGTCAACCAGTCCTCCGCCGATCAATAGTGACACATTGGACACTATTTATGCTAATCTCATAGATATTATGCTTATAATAATTGATGAAATTTCAATGGTATTTAGATTGTAGGCTAACGCAAATTTTTAGGAGGAGTGCTTACTTTGGAGGCATTCCAATTATCGTGTTTGGTGACTTAAAACAGTTGCCACCAGTAGGAGATCGATGGATATTTGCGCCGAATATGAATGATAATTACAGTGCAATTACAGGAACTCCGCTTTGGGAGCAATTTCGATCACCGAAATAATGCGTCAGCGTGAAGATCAAGAATTTGCCATCGCTTTAAACAACATGTCAGATGGAAATATGACACACGCTGACATCCAATTAATCAAAAGCAGAGAAAAGACTTTTAACGAGATACCCAACGAAGCCATCCATCTCTTTTACTCAAATACTGGAGCAAATAATTTCAATTCAACAAAACTGGCGAACACGRTGACCGACGAGTTCATTTCGACTGCGAAGGATAAAATTAAGTCAAGTTCCTTAACAGAACGCAGCAGAGCAAACATTTTAGAAGCTGTGAAGGGTTTCAAGCCATCAGAAACACAGGGAATGCCTCATACATTGCAGCTCAAAACATCGATAAAATATATGGTAATAGTCAATATAAACACGAGTGATGGATTAGTAAATGGTGCTACAGGGGACTAATGCAGGTGGGTACCGAATCGTCTGGACCTGAAAGCACAGTGGTGCGACTATGGATAAAATTCGCAGAACCAAGAGTTGGAAGCTTTGCACGTTCCAAGCAGCCGCATAGTCGCAATGCAGATTGGACACCAATCATGAGCGTGGTTCGATCATTCCAATACAAGCGAAATGAACAAATAACTATAGAACGTAGACAGTTCCCTGTCATTCCAGCCGAAGCCATCACGATACATAAAAGCCWAGGTGGAACATACGCTCAAGTTGCGGTTCATCTAGAGGGTAGATTTAGCARGTCAGCTTTATATGTAGGATGTAGCAGAGCCACAAATGCCAATGGATTATATATAATCGGGAAATT